CCCCCCCCCGCATCACCGTTCTAGGGAAAATGTAGACAATTTCTGGGTCATAAGCAAGTTAAAAAAAAAAAGCTGTTGAGCCTCAACTCAATATCCAGCTTTGGGTCCATGGACTAATGCGCTCTTTGTCCTCACTCGTAAGAAAATTCAGCGCAGTGGTAGAATAACTTGCTATTATTCTATCCCCCAGTTCTGAAAGACATTTTTTAGCAAAGTACAAGTACTTTGACATGCTCGGCATGTTACGAGCAAATTGAAGCTTCAAGCGGACATTTTGGTGCTACTAGAAGGGCCCTGGAGTTCACTAGTGCGTGACACATACTGGTTGTCCTAGTAGTGTTAAAAGAGTGCGGCACAGTAGCCCGGGAGCATTTGTTCATTGTTCTTGATATCCATCTTCAAGCGCTATGTGCTGAATTGTCTTACTAGTGTGGACAAAGAGCACACTCGTCAAGCACATGCACCTTCGACTGCATAGCAAAGCAGGTCCCGCATTTGCACTGCGGCATCATCACCTTTTCCGCTTCTTGTCGGCAGCATCGGTCCTCTGGCTTTGGCCTGTGGAGAAACTCTCGTCCCGACGTCGTTTGCTGTCCAAAAGGAAACGGATATTCAATTAGGGCTGGACAATATGGAGCGAAAACCAAAGCTTAGGGTTTGGATGTTTCAGTTTTGTTGAAGGTAACTCAAAACATCTTTTGCCTTTTGGGGTTTTTTTCCCCTTGTTGGTATTTGCTTTATTTCTCCTGATACCAAACAAGCTTTGAAACTGCCCCAAGCCTGAATGAACTTGCATCGGCATCCGCCGAAGCAACAGAAATGAGTATTAACGTTTGACTCCATCCCTCCGTTATCCTAGCCGAACATCCTTGCGCGGTTCGCAGGCGTAAAAATGATTCCACTCGTTTGGTCTGTTGTTCGGGATTCAATTAATTTCTTTTAAAAATATTCACGAGAGAGGGCAGAAAAGTTGTGACGTTGGCAACCGTGAACTGAATGGTGCTTTTTGGAAATTAGCTCTGTCCACGATGTCATCAGTGTTCCGAAAAAAATATAAATATATATCAAAAATATGTTTTTTATAATTGCCACGATCAATTAACTCACCCGAATGGATCAAATAGGCCCGATTAAAACAAAACAACAACAAAAAACACATCACTGATTGATGGGTTGGTGATCTCTACTGACTGCGTGGTGCTGTTGTCCTGCTCTGGCGACTGGCTTGGCCTCTCGCTGTCATGTTTGTCGTCGTTTTCCTCGCCGGTCGGTCCTGCTTGCTGGCCGCCGTTGCATCTCTCCGGCGAGTCAGCAGTGGGCTCCTGGTCTTGCCGGCGCTGAGTCTGCGAGACGGGAAGCCGACGTTAGCGCCGCGCGTTGGCGCTCCGGACATAGACGGCGCGAGTGCCTTTACCTGCAGCGACGAGTCCCCCAAGATGCACTTGGCTCCTTCGAGGACGGACATGAAGGAGAAGCGCAGCTGGTCGGGCGTCTGGATGAGACCCATGCGGTACTTTCGCATGTCCAACAGGATCCTCCGGATGTCCAACGGCGACTCTTCTTTCCTTCTGTCCATCTGCCGGACAAAAATAAACGGACACCTCCGAGTAGTATGTGAATGATCTCGGTTCGGAGGCAGGATTGTTCACCCGTGGACATTTAAGAATTAACCGCTGAGCCCCTGTGCACTCTGTTGCTCACCAAAACAGCAGCACCAAAGCACGTAAACAGTGTCCATCTAGAAGACAAAAATAAATACGCCTCCCTTTTTCCCCATCAGAGGGGAAAACAAAGGGTCGTGTGCAGAATGGTCTTGCTTCATCGACACGACTGTTCAAAAAATATCTGCTCAGTCCATTGGAATTCAGTTGCTAACCAAAACAACAGCACCAACGCACACAAACGGCCTCTGTAATTGTATCCGTCCAGCATGGATGCTCGCTTTATGACTGGGAGGGAGGGGGTGAGATAATCGCAGATTAATGATAACGTATGCAAGATTATGATAAAAATGTACAAAAACCTCCATTCCGCAAGTGATTACATTGGTTACTCGAGCAGTTGCCTCTGCTTCACTGAGGTTTCGTCGGCAAATGAAATCTCTCACCAGCACGAGACACGTGTCCACCAGCGAGAAGGTCCCCGAGCGTCCGATGCCGGCGCTGCAGTGCACCACGGCGGGGCCGTGGTCGGTGCCCAGCGCCCCGGACTCGCGCACCTTCAGCAGGAATTTGAGGAAGGACGCCGGCGACTCGGGCACACCGAAGTCGGGCCATGTTGTGTAGTGAAAGTGGTGGATCTCCCGCTTCTCCCCAGTCTGCCACAACAGATTTGGAAATTGCTGGTTTGGGCAGTGGACCGTTTGAAGTTTTCAGAAGGCTTGCTAGCGAGGAGATTGACGAGCAAAAATGAACACCGACACTCATGTTCTGCAGCTCCAACGCTCTGGTGGTGTAGTAAGACTTCACGTCTTCCGACAGCAGTGTGACGAGAAAGCGCGTGTCCCTGAATGCCATCTCGCGCTCCTCGGCCACGGGCCAGTACTGAGCGCACTTTTCCTAACGGACAAAGAAGAAAGGAGAGCAAAGCGATGAGACGCCGCACGACGGTATATCCTGAAAGAGTGGACGCACAGACGTCAGGGTCAACGCCATGTCGGGAACGTCCATGCCACGCGTGAGCAAAGGTTAGTTCTAGACTACACAAAGTACAAACTGAAGTTACCAATATGGAGGAATTAAACTATGGCATGAGCAGAAGCCTCGTGCCACTTTTTTGCCCCACTTCTGCTGGGCTACTTGGCAGAGATGTGACGCTTACCAAGCCTTTCTCAATCACCCTATTGAGCATGACGATGGCTTTGGTCTTTTGTTCCCAGATCATGAGCCAGAAGTGGCCACACGTGTTCCTGAGGGGACCCTGCAGACAAGCACAGCAAAAAACATGTTGGCTCCATCCGAGACAAGCAATCTGAAATGTGCATCTTAAAGTCGCGGCGAAAAATGAAGCACAACGGGGCAGTGTTCTCGTCCCACCGCTCATGTCAACGGCTGTGTCTCGACTCCTCGAACAGATGCAAACGGGGCTCCGATCGGCACAAAATGGCTCTACTTGTGTCGCTCGATGCCCACGACTTGCCTGAGTCAATATGTAACATCTCTGCGCTTCCTCCATCACCACCAGGCTGGCGTTGATGTAGTCGTTGTCGGCGCTCTTCAGCTTCACTCGACTGTGATCGACTGCGGGAGGCGGGGGAGCAAGTTACTGTCGGGAGTTTTGAATACGGCGAGAAAGGCGAGGACGAAACGTACACGGGCTGACATCTCTGTATCTGTTGCGGCTCCGGTTCTCGGGATACTTGGCCACTTTGTAGGAGCACTCGTGGGACTGACTTCGGATCTCCTAGAGAATAGCAGCAGAAATGACTTGTTTTAAAATGAAATCAGTGATGACTGATAGTAGGTCGTGGTCATGGCACTATCAAAGTAGTGTCAGCACAATTATCACGGTTGGGGGATGATTTTAGTCTTTTGTTGGAAATGAAAAATTGTTACGGAATTTACAGGGTGAGCCCACAAGTCGGTATACACTTTTCATTTCATTACAGTCTCCACGTGATGATGGCTATTTCTTTAAACGCAGTTTGAGCTTGTCAATGCTCGACATACCCACCTTCAAACAATGGAACGCTCTTCAAACCAAATTCGGACTTGCAACAATTTTGATACAACCTTCGGAAGTTCATTCACTGACACAAGTGCAGAGCAAGGATTAGGGTTCAAAAATTAGGATTTCGGGTTGAGTTTCTTGCCTGGCTTTGTAGTTTGGGATAGGTTTAGGATTTTCAATAGTGGTGCTGAATCCTTTCCCTCCTTCCCTCATTCTTCCTTCATTCCATCCTTGAATTCATCCTTCAATGATTCCCTCCCAAAAATCCTTTTTCTGTCATTGATTCCTTCCTTGCATTTTTTAACCGTTCTTTTTTCCCTTATTTCTTTCCATCTTCCTTCCCTACCATTCCTGTATCCTTCTTCCTTCTCCCAGCGCCCCCACAAGTAGGTTGATGTAAAAAATGTATAATTACTATTTTTAGGGGCATGCTGGTACTGTCGATTATTAACATTAACTTTGCCAAAGACACAGTTTTTCCTTTTTTTCCGACTCACTCAGCTCTGGACTGTTAAACGTTAGCAACATGCTAACTTGACTTACCATGTACAATTTGTGCCACCGGCCCTCCGATTCAATGTCCTCAAACTCCCGCTCCATTTTCACCGAGGCAATGCCAGCAAAATTACCTGTCAAGATAAGCTAACTCATATCGTCAGACGACCCGCTGATGTTCACAAAGAACATCAAAAACAAACCCCAAAAACAGGAAAAAAAGGGCTTCTTTTGTGCGTGCGAGGAGAATTACGACTTCCCCGTGGTAAGTTTTTTTTAACTGATCGTCTCTTCTCGCCGGATGACGTGAGATGATGTGCGCATGCGCAGACAAAGGGTCCTTGGGCGACTGTCAAAAGCGACAGAGATCTTCGAGCGAGTGGTGGCACTAAAAATTGTATTTAATATTTATCAAAACCGTGTATGAAAATGAAAATATTTTTTACTTTCAAAATGTTATTTATAGGTAAAAATGAATAAATTGTATTCTTAGTGTGACCAAATAATTACATTATTGTACAGATTTCATTTTGTAAAATATTGTAAATCATTTTACTATGTATATGTAACATGTGCAGTCAAAATGAAAATATACTTACAAAAATTTTAACTACGAAATAATACGTCATATTCAATCTCAAAAATAGCAAATTACATTTGATCTTATAAATTGTATTTTTCAAATTTTGAATAATTCTACCATATTTTACAAAATACATTACAAAAAATAGTTTTTTTAAAGTGCGTTTAAGTGTGTATGTTTGTGTGTACGTGTCACACGCGCGCGCACACACACGCACACACACACGCACACACCAAATAATTAAGCGTATGATATCAAAATAAATACAAACACAAATATCAACTACGAAATATTGATTTACGATCATTTTCACCAATCAAATCAGCACCCGAAATGCAACAGTTACGTTGCGACCGTTGACATTACACTCCAATAGACTAGAGGGCGCACCTGCCTGTATTTGCTGCGGGACATAAGTCCAACGTCACTTCCTTTCAGTCACGGCTACTCCGATAGAAACACGAGTGTCCGTTTGCTCTCTCTTTACTTGGACTTACTGAATTTTCTGAAACCGAGATATACCACTCGGCTGGTAAACATGGTTAGTATATGTTGTGTTTTTTTAATAGTATGCCCGTGTGTGTACTTCAAGGCTCTTGCGCGGCAAATGTTAGCTTTTCCGGTGACGTCTCGTTAGCTACATGGAGTATGAAACAGCACTGCTCAACAGCTGCGTATTGTCTGTAGAATACGGTTTATGTTGTCAGTCTCCGTCAAATATAATAATGTGATAAATCGGCAAAACTGGTTTTCGTCATGAGCTCCTCTCCCTCTTTTCTCCATAGAAACCCATTCTACTTCAGGGCCACGAGAGGTCCATCACTCAGCTCAAGTACAACAGAGAAGGGGACCTCATCTTCTCCGTGGCTAAGGACACTGTGAGTTTGACAAAAGTGAAGCATATTTACACGTTGTTAGAATCTGCTGCTTATGTGTCAGCACGAAGCAGCCCATAAAAATGCAAATGACTGCTTTCGATTTTGTCACATCTTTGACTCAGTGTGATACATAGTTTTTTTTTGGGGGGGGGGGGTTACATCTCTGGTGAAACCCCGCCTAATTTTGGTTTGCAATTCAATAATATACTTTTTTCCCCCTCTCCCCTCTAGGTTGCAAATGTGTGGTACTCCGTGAACGGCGAGCGTCTGGGCACCTACAATGGACACACAGGAGCGGTGTGGTGTGTCGACTGCGACTGTATCCTAAGAATTCCCCAAATATTTGTCATTAATTGTTCCACAGTCCTCGGTGGCCGCTTCCTTAGCGCGTTCTTCACCAGGGGACACCAAGAACGTGTTGACGGGTTCGGCAGACAACAGCTGTCGGCTGTGGGATTGCGAGACGGGTGAGTGAACTTTCTTCATCGCACCTAATTGGTAATCTGCGTCTGGGTCAGCTCGATAATTGAGACTGTCATCGATGTGATCCTTTTCCAGGTAAACAGTTGGCCTTGGTCAATACCAACTCTGCGGTCAGAACGTGTGGCTTCGACTTCAGTGGCAACATCATCATGTTTTCCACGGACAAGCAGATGGGCTACCAGTGCTTCCTCAACTTCTTCGACCTACGGGATCCACAACAAATTGGTATCATGTTGAGATTTGACGGACGGACTAAACGGTTGAACCGGTGGAAACCGAACTGTGGCCATGTTTCAATTCACATTTAAATGTTTGAAATAACATTTAAACATTCTTAGCTGTCACACAATTTTAAAAAGACATAAGACACGCCTCCATGAGAAATTATGCAAATGATCCGATAACGTGTTTGTTAACTGAACAGGCAAAGTTAAACTCTGAACTGGTATACCTGACCTTTTTTGTCATATTTAAGTGCTTTATAAATAAAGCTCAGTTGACATTCGGGCAATTAATCAATATTTCCTCATGGTCACAGTTTTGGCTGCCACGATTAACCTTAATAATCCTGATGACAATATTGATCGCAATTGGCGGTACACGAAACTCTTTTTTTCAGACCGGCGGCTGGTCTCGGCAGCCCCCACAAGTACCCAATGCCGAAAAATGAGGCTGTTATCCTGTCCAGCCGTAATCAAATTACTTGTGACTTTCAATATGATCATAATCATGCGGCCTCACCTCAGATTGCTAGCTGTAGCACAAGTGGAAAAAAATAGCGATAAAGAGCCATTCTTTCCTCACAGCTGACAACCAGCCCTACCTGACCGTCCCGTGCAACGACCACAAGATCACCAGCGCCGTGTGGGGGCCACTCGGCGAGTTTGTCATCGCCGGGCACGAAAACGGCGAGATTAACCAGTTCAGCGCCAAGGTCGGCGACCGGCCATCTTATTGGCGCGCGCGTCGTTAGCGTTTCCCACGTTCATAATTGAGCGCACTTTTGTTGTCGTCATCGGTGGCGGCGCCCAGTCAGGGGACATCCTGAAGACAATCAAGGAGCACAACAAGCAGATCAATGACATCCAGACGTCAGTGGACCTTACCATGGTCATCACTGCATCCAAGGACAACACTGCCAAGGTTAGCGCCTTCCCGTACACACACTGATGCCGCATCTTTACGGTTGCGTTGACTTATTCGTACCGCCGCTTACAAGTTTTTCAAGTTATGAGCCTGTTTTGGGCTCTTTGCTTGTGGTCAAAATCACACCGTCGACTCAACAGTACGTTTGACATACCGGTAGCGATGTTTCAATGTGGAATGAATATATGCTGTGTCCTATGTCGTGCCCACAGTGTATCCCACAATGCATCTTGAATTTTGTGTGTTGTGCACACGTGGAAAAAAAAACTGCGATAACAAATTTTGGGGGAAAAGTGGTGAAATGATTAGTTCTTTTTCTTTAAATGTGCTTGAACACACATATTGGTACCTGTCCAAGAATAACCACTGCTCATTTTTGTTCGTGTGTGTTTGTGTGTCGTGTGTGACGCGACTCAGCTCTTTGATTCGGCCTCCCTGGACCACATCAAGACATTCAGGACCGAGAGACCCGTCAACTCGGCCTCCATCTCGCCTATCATGGACCACGTAAGTGTCCCCTAAAGTGAGGTTAGAGTGTGTTTGTGTGTGTCTCTGCAACACTCAACGTGATATGTGTACGCGACACAGGTGGTGATGGGCGGCGGTCAGGAGGCCATGGAGGTGACCACCACCTCCACCAGGATTGGCAAGTTTGAGGCCAGGTGAGACACCAAAAAGCAAAACCGGATTTCAAAAATTGCCACCTGCCTTAGCTGGTTGTCGAAAGATGCTACCGTTTGCAATCGAGGAGAAAAACGAATTCCGTTTAGTTTACTGTTATTGGGGGAAATGTGCTTTTATTTCAAATGTGACATTTCTTAAAAAAAAAAAATAGTGTACTCTAAGAAAAGCAGTTATTTACGGTAGGCATGTGGGGAAAAAAAATATTTTCTCTTGAAGGTGATGCAAGAAGCTAATGCTGAAGGTTAAAATGTGTTTCAGAGTGAGCGAAACGTGTTTTGATCAATGCCATTGTCATTTGCTTTTTCTGTCGGCGTGGAAAAGAATACAGAGTAAGTCATGTTTTTGTTATTAACGCTCGCGGTTCTCAGGTTCTTCCACGCCGCATATGAGGAGGAGTTTGGCAGAGTTAAGGGACATTTCGGACCCATCAACTGCGTGTCGTTCCACCCGGACGGCAAGAGGTACCAGAACCCGTCCAGAAGCACCGTTTCCTGTGTTTGCTCTTGTGCTTATTTGCGTTTCTGTGCCCGTGTTCCAGTTACAGCAGTGGAGGAGAGGATGGATATGTGAGGATTCACTACTTTGACCCGCAGTACTTTGACTTTGAGCTGGAGGTGTGAAAAGCACGCGCACCAGCCGCTTTTTTGAGACTTGCAACAATAGGGCATCCATCTTAAGAGTTGTGCCAAGTGGGCATCCACAGCTCCAACAACCCAGGTCCCTTTTTTAAAAAAAATAAAAATAAAACGTTGCCGTTTTAAGACTTGACACCTCCCATCACACACGTACACACACATCTGTTCCGACCACCTTCACTAAACAGTTCTGACTTGGAAGTTGCACCTGTGTGATTTGTCCAAAATTCAAACGCTCCCAATGTTTTTCATTTTTTTAATAACAAAGGCAAAAACACATTCTGAAAGCAACGTCACACTCTCTTTGTACACAAACACAAAATAAGAGGACTTGCTTATATCAAAAAATTTGTTCAGATTCAAGCACAATAAAAAAAAAAACTATAGGAAGCTTTCAGAATAACTTAAATGTGGAAACATGGCAAGGAAGATAATTACGCACATTCAGTCTCATTACAAACAGACTCTTAATATGTATCACAAAATAAAAGTGATACTGAACAGGCTCATTTGGGCAAGGATGGAGTTCTTCATCTTGGATGGAGCACAATGAAACAAAATGACCAGAGTTGGTTTTGTTCGATGTGGTGCACTGGTGCAGGTGGCGCCAACTGAGGTACGTGCTCCCATAAACTTAGAAACAGCAGTCAACGCACTTCAAGTAGTCTTCACTTCTTCTTTTGCTCTAAAAAGTAAAAAAAAAAAAAACAATGTTGCTTTGGAAATAGTTGGAAACATTTTTGGGACTTAAATGTTCTTACACTGAAGTATCCATCTTTTCCTCCTTGTCATCCTCCTTCACTTCTGCAAAGTAGAAAAAAATGATGAATGCATGTTTCCCCCATGAAAGGAAAAAGACTTGCCTTTCTTCTCGTCCCCGTCACGCTCCTCTTCCTTCTTCACCCGCTTGGCCTTCTTATGATTGGTCGCGTTCCGCCGGCCGCCTCCCTGACCCTCGGCCTCATCCTCGGAGTCCGAGAAATCCTCGTCGCATGCTATCCTTTTGTCGTGAGCGCGAACTGAAGCACAAAGCAAACAGTGTGGCTAAATAAATAAATAAAAATGACGCTGCCTATTTTGTACCTAACAAACGCAGAATGGGTCGGCCCCGCAATTTCCTTTTCCCACTGTGACAGTAAGTGGTGTGAAAATGGGAGTAGAAAGCAGACCTGGTCATTTTCCGCCTTTACTTACTGGAAATGCGTTTGTCCTGGTCCTCATCGTCCTCATCTGCGCTGTCGGGGTGCGGCGCGTCCTCGGGTATGGCCTGCATCTGGACACCGGGTGCGTGCGGCAGCATGCGGAGGTTCTCGAAAAGGCGCTGCTTGATCTTCTCCAGGTACTCGTCCGTGTTCTGGTTGGTCATGTTGGACGGGCTGATGTGCAGCTTGAAGTCGGGCCCGAAATATTCAAAGTAGTCGTTGTACGGCAGCTCGTTAGGGATGGAGCAGTCCAGCGCCACCGCCGTCTCGTAGGTCCAGCAGCGCGCCACGTTGCGGATGGTGTAGCCGCCCCCGCCCAGCATCAGCAGCGGCAGGTTGAAGCTCTTCATGTACTCCACGCACTTGGCGTGACCTGCGAACGACACGACAGGTTAAGCTCATGGCTGACAACAACCATGGCGTCATAAAACTCCTGGGGCAAGTAGGCACCTGCAAAGTAATACTGCCACCTAGTGGCCTTTTAGCGTTACTGCTAATGACCCGCAACGCTCACATTGGGTTAGGCCAGGGTCAGAGCTGCAGTCCTGCATGTTTTCCGTCTCTCCCTGCTGCAACACACCTGATCCAAATGATCAGGTCATCAGCAAGCTCTGTAAAAGCCTCCGAACGATTCTGATTATTTGAATCGGGTGTGGTGGAAGAGGGAACTTCTAAAACAAGCAGGACTGCGGCTCTGTAGGACCGGACTTGCCTACCCCTGGGTTAGGCAGACACTTTGCAACAGCGGTATGCTGCATTTTATTTGCTGTAACTTAACATGATTTTTGTTTTTGTTAATGTGTCAAAATGGTTATGCCCAAGAACAAGGAGCTCCAACAATTCTGGAAATCCGATAATGGGTGATTTTTTTTGGGGGGGGGGGCAGGGTTGTAAAAATTGCCTCTTTGGGAGACGTTTTTTTTGCGTGATATTGCCGATAGAAAATCTTCAAATTTCAAGTCAAACAATAGAACTAATTTCTCAGTCAAACTCTGAGGGGTTCTCCAAGATGGCAGCGACTTGTCACGTTGCTATTGGTACAAAGGCGCAATTGTGTTGTTGTGCTACTTTTAGATCCCGTTCCAGCCCATGTTTGCGTGTGCGTACCTTTGATGGTGAGGTTGAAGCAGCCGAGCCTGTCTCCTGACAGGGAGTCGGCGCCACACTGCAGGACCACTGCACTCGGCTGGTACATCTCCATCACTTTGGCCATGATCTATAAGCCACACAGACACTAAGTGATGCTGAACATGTTTGGCCTTGACCGAGTATGATGCAAAGCACTTGCAGGTTTGAAGATGGCCTCATAAGACTCGTCGTCGATGCCGTCTCTCAGTGGATAGTTAACGGCGTAGTACTTTCCCTTCCCGGCGCCGATGTCCTACAAGTTAGCCCAGGCGGACCGTGATCATCTCGTGCAACATCGCCAGAGAAGCCCGAGATGCGGGAATCCATCTCACCCTCAGGTCTCCAGTGCCCGGAAAGTATTCGCCGTACTTGTGGAAGGAGACGGTCATGACGCGGTCAGTGGTGTAGAACGCCTCCTCCACGCCGTCGCCGTGATGGATGTCGATATCGATGTACAACACGCGTTGATGGTACCTGCGTGCAAAACGGGAGGAATGGACACGGTGGCTTCAAGGCTGTTGGGAATCTACGATATCTACAGTCCTTTAGGGCCGCTTTAAAAAAAATGAAGACCTCCCGTGATACAGCGCTCCTTTCCGAGCACGTTTTTCACGGTAACGCTGCACCTCGCATCTTAGAAATTCACCGGGGCTTACTTGAGCAGCTCAAGGATGGCGAGCACGATGTCATTGACATAGCAGAAACCAGACGCCTCCGACTTCTTGGCGTGGTGGAGTCCTCCCGCCCAGTTGACGGCGATGTCGGTCTGCTGCTTGTTAAGCTTCACCGCGCCCGCTGGAAATCCATGAAAATGATTTCAAGTGTCCTTGTGGGGATTATTGGAGAATGTGCAGCTCAGTTGGACAAACGCACCCACGGAGCCGCCCGTGGAGAGCTGGCAGAACTCAAACAAGCCGTCAAACACCGGACAGTCTTCTCCAACGTTGACTGCGTGGGGAAAATACAACTGTGATTTTAACTTGCGCATTTAACATCAGCTAAAAAAAAAAAAAAATCTCACATCTTTGCATCTGTTTGCTGTATTCCGACATGTTGTCCGGCCTGATGGACCTGAGGAACTTGATGTAGTCGTCGCTGTGGTATTTGGTCATCTCCTCGCCGCTGGCTTTGTGCGGCCTCTACGGACACGTCAGGTCACATGATGCAAGTCCAAGTCAAAATGAATTCATTACCATTCACACTTGTGTTATAAATCTTAATTTGTCAATAACATTTGAATAATGTCCCCTTAAAGATTAGCAAAAATTTTTTAAAAATGTATGTCTGCATATTGTTTTGTCATATGTGGACCCGTGGTGGACTGTTTTCAGCGTTTTGGCCACAGCATTTGTCAAAGAAGAATAATCTGTGCTTGGTGGTTGCACCTTCTCGGCAGCACGCGTGTACCAGCACTGATTTTGATGGGGAGGAATGTCAGCGCCATTTGACTGTCTGTGCTGGGCAGCACTTGTGTTTTTTTGCGCCTGTAATGGGTAGCATGTGTCACAGCCCCGTTTTGTTCAGTGGAGATGTCGGTGCTGTTGGACAGTCAGCGGCTAGATGTCTGGCTGCTGGAGGTGAGCAGGAGGAGAGAGAGTGTCAGCTTGGAGTGCGGATGCGTAAATCTGCTTGGAATTGAAGCGGATTTACATGGGACAGAAGAAGTGAACCGATCTCTTTTTTTCGTCAATGGACGCTACTGCTTCTTGTTTACTTTCAGATTTAGCTTGTCACAGATGTGTGCACATTTTGAGAGTGATATCTCTGATCCACTGGTGAAAGGACACTTGGATTCTCTCCTCGGTCATCTAGAACTGCTTCAAACAACAAGGGGTATGCTGCAATATGGTTCTGATTGCACGTCTTATGGTATGCGTTTTATTAAAATACCGTATTTTGTTATTTTATGTTAAATGTTTTGTAAATCTCTTTGTTGCAGCTGTTGTGAACGCACTATAAAAATAAAGATGTTTTGTATTGTGAAATACTAATTTCAGGTTTCTATAGGATTTACAACTCACGTCAAATTAAAAAAAAAACTCACGTAGATCTCCATCTTCCTGTACAGGCCATAGTTGAGGAGCAGGTTGTGTGTCATCCGGATCCTGTGGGGCTTCATGGGGTGGCCCTGGCCGTAATAATAGTTCCCCACGTCACCTAAAATACAAAATTAAAATGACAATGATGACACGGATTCTGATTCGTGGAGTCACAACCTAATTGTCATTGATTGACAGCCAGGTTCGCGAGGGTCTCTAGCACTCCTTAGCTATAGTGAGACCCTTGCCAAAGTCACACTATTCACCTTAAACGTACACAATAAGCGCTTGTGATGCATTAAAGTTATAATGTGGTTTAGTCTTAGTTTGACAAAACGATATGAGCTTCTGTGCATTTACACTAGCAGCATGTCTGTTAGTTTAGCACGCGAGCTAGTTAGCCGTCTGCTGCAAAACCGTCGAGCCCGACCGGCGTCGCACTTTTAAAGAGCTATCAGGCGGGCATTTCAAAGCGTCCACGGCCCGCCCAAAGCGCCATTCAATGCACAGAGTAGGGCACAAACAGGGGTATTTACCATCATAGTAATAGCAAACTTTCTTCTTTGTTCCTTGCGACAGCGCCATTTTACACCCACTTTTAAGCCACTACCTGGGGGAGGGCGCCAAGATGGCGACGTGAGCTGGTGCATTTTTGGGAGCTGCTTACCCTATTCCATGTAAAGTTAGTGGAACACTGATACCTCTTTTGTTTCATGTCAGAAAGTTGGACGCTTTTCTTGACTGCTGTACTAACAGTATGTTCCTCGTTTGTTGTCTGGTTAAGGGAAAGTCTCACAGTTTGGTTTTCCATTTTTATTCTTAATCACAAATAAATCTTGCTTTACTATGATTTTCCTCTTTTCCCCCCTAATGAACAGAGGGGGAGCGACAATTTCTTCCAATTTTGTAGTTTGCGTTTGTGGAACATCGGCTGTCGATTAGTGATGTGTCGGTCGCGAACGAGCCGGTACAAAGAGCCGACTCTTTGAAGTGAACGATGATAGCTGGCTCTGTC